GTTCACAACGAACATATTCGATCATTACCTAACAAGCACACGGATTGCTAACGTGGCGATTTCAACTAACACACTCAATTCTTATCTAATAAACATACATATTGCTCATGTGGCGTTGTCAACTAACACATTTATTCTCTATCTACAAAGCACACGAATCGCTGATGTGGCAGTTATGACTAGTGTATGCCAAAGTAACTATAACCTCATCTTGAGCAACCTCTATTTTTGTTTAAACAAACTAAAAATGGTTACAGTAGGCCAATGACATGTTTTCATGTAATGAGACTAGTCAAATAAACGAGGATTTAACTTAGTAATTAGATGATAATTACTATATGATACTTTGGTATTTTTCAAAGTAGTATATATCAAATTTGGAAAGTTCATTGTGTGAGTATTTGTATCATCAATCTAAATTTGTATTACATTATACCTTTTGAAATATTGATAAGTTTTTGTAATTGAGATGAATGTACAATTCCGGTGTTTGAAATATAGTCATGAATAATTGATGAAATGAAGAAATACATAACAAGCTCACAGATTTTATTTTATTTTACCTTTGATCCCTATATGTCAAGCATACATATTAGATGTATGAAATTAATTAATTAATTATATACATATATAAATTTATGAATATAAAATTAATTTTTTCCTTTTTTTAGATTCCAAAAAACTAAAAAAATTAATAAAAAATTTCTCATATTGAAATTTAAGATCCTCATTGTACACAAATTTACACTATTGAATTTTGAAATGTGTATCTTTTAGAGTTTTGAACTATGTTCAAATTGACAAATATGATGAAAACACATTGTTATTGTATCTTTCTATTAAATATTTCTATCTCAAATAGAATTTTGAATATATTTTAACTTAAATTATTAGCTTTTAAATTTGATTAAAAAATGATGCGAATACTTCTGAAAGTTTTGTTATGATGAATATAATCATAATTATGATATAATTTTTTTTATTGCATATATGATGTATCTTTGAATATCGTAAAATATTCGTAAAATGATTTATTAATATGTCACACAAATATGAATGATTCAAATATTAGATTTATAATTTGATAATTATAAAAGATAATTTTTTTTTGTGAAATCCTAAACATTATGATTTATCTAAAAAGTTCAGCCTAAACTTTCATCCTTTGCATGTAATTTAGATCATTTTTTGTTATTTGTAACTTTTGTTTAACTTGATATAGTTTCTTTGTGAATATGTTTTACAAAATTGCTCATTGTTGCTATTTGTGTAGAAATCTTCTTCTTTTTTCAACTGGGTGGAATAAAAATTATGAATATCATACAAGAGATAAAATGAAGATATATTTGTGCATGACTGAATTTTTGTATGTTTAAATTCAAAATATAAATTATGTTTGTTGTTAATCTTATGTGAATGTACACAATATTTCATTTTAGATTCTCTTGATTTCTTTTATTCAACCAAGAGTGCAAATATAATTAATCTTGGACATAAATATATATATTTTTTGAAAAAAAAAAACAAGACTTTTTAAAAAATAAATGATTGAAATGAGCATTTCTAATAGTGGTAACAAATTTAGTACATGTTGCAATTCACAAAAAAATTTTCTAAATAAAATCAAAAAGCTATCCAGATTTTGATGTGTTTTATGTGATGTGAATCATTTTACTTGGTTTGTACACAAAACCACACTTGAATTATAATAATAAATTTTTGATAAATCGATAAAATAGATTTTTGATAAATCATATACAATTTGTGATGACACACATCTATATTGTTTAAAAAATAGTAATAAATTGAAATAAATTAGTTGATTACTACATTTTAGACATAAATCTTCATAAAATTATGTACTTCGAAATGATAGTGCATTTGTTATATGATTACAAGATGTTTTCAACTCTCACGTGCTCTCCGAAGATTTCATTATGATTTTACAATAAGATCATTTATGTTAAATTTTGATTATGAAAAATCCAAGGCGTTGTTTGTGAAATGACAAATGTAGCCCACGGGTTCAGACCTAACCGAGGCGTTCACTCGGCGCTTAAGGAAATCAAGCAATTCTGGAGATATTCCAGGAGATCTATGCCCTTAATTCACCGAATTTCTAGATTCCTTTATAGTGGGGAAATGCCAATCCTTATGTGTCTCCTTTATTTGAAGTGCTTTCATCATCTGTTCATCTTCTTGATAACACATCTCATTTTGCTCTACCAATCAATTCATAACATTCATGTGACAACATTAGCAAGTTTTTTTTCCATTCACATATACAAGCTTCATGTTAATTTTTTGACATCATTATATCAACGGAGTTTTTCATTTGAGTATATCAATTTAAAAATCTAGACACACAAGTGATTTATGATTAATATCTATCACAAATGTACAGACAAAGTATAGATTTCAATGTTTTGTTACTAAATTTTTTCCAGTGTTTGTATGATTGGTTAAGTTATCATCAAATTTTGAATTATGTATTCAATTCTAAAATCTTATATTCATTATCAATTATTTGATCCAAAGTACATATTTATGTGATCTATCAATGCAAATGATAATTGTACAAGTTGGATCAAGATTTCAAATTTTTTTTATGGAGCATGTGATGAGAATTCAAGAAAAGACACAATATAGAATAACTGATAAACAAGAACTTGTACATGGATAAATTCAAAGGGAGAATTAAAAAAAAAGTGATTTTTTTTCAAAAAAATTGGATGTGAGATACCATGCTCTTTAAAATGATTTCTGAGGTTTAAGCTCAGTCACAAGAACCCTACTCAACATACCATGTTTAAGTGAGAGATATGAAAATGACAAATAAGGGGAGATGTAAAATATGCAAACCTCTAGAAAATGAATACATTAACATTAAACAATACATACATTAGAGTTTTTCAAGAGCAATATTATGAATTATTAAAGTCTATACAATTGAAACTATGATGGTTTGAGCACGGTTTGGGCTTGATGCATTAACAAATTTAAATTTTTAAATTATTAAATCAAAATGTTTTTTGCTTAATCTAAGGTATCGTGACTGAAAGGATTTTGTGGGAAATACATATAGTGAACTACCTTGTTGCAATAATTCAGTTCGTTGCTCTTGTCATGTTTTGACCACTGAGATTTTATCATTTCAGCGTCAAGCACGACAAGAGGAATCTCTGAAGCTAAGCTAATATATGATCTACTGATCAACTGACCATATCTATTTTTCGAGGCAGGCCTTTCGTACTCATACCCAGAAAAGCATGAACACGAAACGTTGCATTCGAGTTCAAGCGATATGATGAAATATGAGGTTTTGAAGATATTGGCGTCACTAAATATAGAAGTGTTTTGAACGAGTACAGTACTTCCATAATGTTTACAGTTGTTGTAGTCCCATGCACCGACAAAAGTGCTTGCACAGGATATCACAGTCAAGGTACAGAAAATATATACAAGTGTGCGAGGACGTATGATCTCGGCTGTAACAAGGGCATTGTGAGTCCAATCCGTACATATTTAGTGTTCTGTTTGTTGTTGAAAAATGCCCACACTAATTGTTTCAGAAAAGCAGCGTTGTAATGTAGAACGTTGACTTCGTGTTCTTCATGCAGGATCTGAAGCTCTGAATTCACTGCTCAATTTCCAAGTGATGGTCAGAAGGCTTCATTAGACCGTGCGGGGTAGGAGGCTGAGGCTGAGGCTGAAGCTGAAGTTATGTCTAGACTTCCTGCTGAAGCTGGAACTCCATTTATGCAGGTAGAGTTTATATTTTCAAACGCAAGATCATTGTATATGCTGCTGCTTGTGGTTGTTAATCTTCAGTGTTGAGTTCCTGAATTCTGGTGCGAGACTGTGACTTTGTGGGAGGACCAGGTAATTTCAGCAGAGCTTACTTCATGTACTGGACTGAACTGTGAAACGGATATGCCCGAAAAAGGTCATACCACCGGGGAGGAGCTACTGTATCAGCTGCATGTGATTCTTATTATTATAACAATTTGATGAACGCTAGTAATGGTGACCTTCCAAGGGTCCATTTTGGTGACCATTTCTCCAATTTTCCTGTGTTATCCACTTTGTTCTTGTATGCCACTCTGATTCTCATGAAGTTTACGAGGCAGGAAAGAGAAGCACGCGAATCTCCCGGCATTCAATACCTCGCACGTAGTCAGTGCGTCTCACATCTTCTGATAGAAAAATAAATTTTGAAAAACTGATACCTTGAAACAGTGGCAAAGGGCCTCTTATTCCTCCACCAGGTATATGAATCATTTGATATCCAAGACATCTGAATCTTTTGAACAACAAATTATTTCTCTCTATAGATACAGCGAGAAATCACAAAATTCCATGATGCTTTGTACTACATTTTGATACCATTAGTCTCTGCTATCATAATTGATTCATTATTTCAATCCCGGCTTGTGCTCAATTTCTACGATGGCACCTAGTAGATCATATGCTAATATGTCTTCACAGCATTCTAGGCATATCTGAATGGAACAAAGTACTGAATTTGGCTACTAAAACATGCAGAGTCCTGTGGCAAGCAAACACAAAAGTTGTTTCGCAAACTGAATTTGGAATTCTCAGACAAGTAGAATCGAATGAAAATCTCAAGAATCTCTATGATGATTTTGAGACTTTCTATGATTTTCAATCAACCTCAATTTCGAAAAAAGGCTACAAGATTATTGAACTGTCATCGATAAGGTCTTCAAAGCTAATATAAATTTTTGCAACGGGAATGGAGTTCATTCACCAAATTATGGGCATGGAATTATGATTACGATACAGAAACAGTGTGTCATACCTCATCACGAAACCATTCTCGCTTTCCATATGCATAGATTTTCATCCCATAAGAAATCATATCAATTATGACATGGTTAAACAAGGCAATCGTTCTTACTTTCATCCATACGAGTCCACAAAATAATGACAAAGTTAAATAAGGCAATCATTCTTACTTTCATCCAAGCGATTGGTAGTAGATAAAACTCACGAGGAAATAACTAGGATTGAAATGTGTTAATAGAGGAAGCGAAATATGTTTATTCCTTGAGTTTCTCCTCGACCTTACGCTTTTCATGACTGAAGTGTAGAATGTACTGTCGTCTCTCTGGGCCCCTGGCGAATGCCAACACATGGTGGGATGTCGTTTAAGTAAGAACTACTTGACTGCTCGAGAAATAACCGTGACTCTCTTCACCTCCATTGCTGAGTTAATTTGCTGCCGGGTCTTAGGGACTCGTGCAATCTGAGATCCATGATTGGCATCAGGTTCCACCTTCACAAACAACATGTAAGAGGATTTGATTGACTCAACAAGAATGTGTGGGTTATCATCTTCAGCAAGATTTTCGACCAAATGCTACATATGGCCCAATTGTGTAGCATACAAATATGCACTGCTGTCTTGGCATGGCAAACTTTTGAATCAACCGACAGCGAGCGAGTCATGTAAGTAGGCAGGCGTACCAGACATACGAGTAAAACTGAGTGCCTTCAGGTCTTCCAGGAGTTTATTTTTTTCGTGAGCATCAAGAAATTCTGATCTGCGAATCAGTTTGACTAATTCCTGTTGTTCCTCCAGAGCTTTTTCGTGCTCCATGACCTTTTTCTGATGTATTTCCAGGAGCGTTTGCATCTTTTTCAAGTTGCTGTCATGCAGTTGCCTCATAAATGTCAGGTTCTGAAACTCGTCAGATGCTGAAATCTGCCTCCCATCCGTAGATTTAGAGCTGGAAGGGGAAGGAGGAGGGCCCTCCATCTCTGCAGATCTTCAACGACGGAATTTGTCCCAGAAGAATGTGCACAGCTCCTGGAAAGCTCCACACCGAGGAAGACTATGCACAGACTCCAGGTCTGCGATGCTACACAAGAGAATGGCTATATATTCTCTACCAGCCATCGATCGATCGACAGTCTGAATCGCACCAAGGCAGAATACCACGCTCGCTGTCCACTCCAGGCAAAATCGAATGACCCCATAGTTGCTTTGGCTGTCAGCCTCACCATCTTTTCGTTTTTGTACTTTCTTTACAGTTCACCGTCAGCTGTCGGTTTTCGTATGCACAGACGGAGCTCTACGGCGTGCCATTCACATTGCGCAGGCCAGTCGACCAGGCACTAAACCTGCTGGACTGTCTAGAAAGGCAGCAATTTCAAGACACCTGTACTGCACTTGCAAGAGTACCATCAAAAGATTTCATTTCAAACTGGACAGGGCTCTGAATAATAACTGTAATGGATTGTAATTATGCTCGCGCGATGTGAGAAGCCTTCAGCTGTGGCGTGGGGCGTAACATTGCAGGGAGCCACTTGCACTTGCACTTGCAGACAGCTGATGCAAGTGGATTCTGTCCAGATCGCTATGAATTCCGAGCACCACGTAGACAGTATGCTCTAGTCTTAGCTCCGTGTGACTCAGATTCTAATGATGGTGAATTGTAGCCCTTCCTGCCTATTTCAGTATGATCACCTTTTGCATTCATCCCATGTAAATGTGAATCTTTCACCCTGCAACTGCATAGCAAAGGGTTTTGCTTTGAGTCCCTCGCCCCTGCATGAAGAACTCTTCTGCTCCAAGAGAAGTCTAGCCTTAAGCTCAAAAGGTGCACTTCAATCTAGCGATCAGACTTCAGAGTTGACACAAGATGAAAGAATCCGAATTAGCAATGACACAAGCTAGGGAAACCAATTTATTTAATGGCAGCGTAAATCATGCAAGCTATATCCCTCAGATGGAACACCTCACCGGCAATGTCTGATCGAATTGCTTCGTCTCCACATCTGTTTTAACCGGTTAGTTTGACAATCAGGGATGTGTTATAAAACTGCCTTCTGTAACTCAGCTTGGCAATTAGATTCCTCTTCTCCAGATCAACGAGCGTGCTATTTGTCACCTTCATAGGTTCATCATAAAATCAAACTCTAGTGCTTAAAATTTCCCCGGTTGAAGAATTGCTTGCTGTGGCAGAAACCTTCGAATACAAATAACGGTAGCCCGACTGTTCTTGTCTCTCATCCACGAGAGGATGTTGTTTGATCTTCAGAATGATGACTCAGGATATTGGCATTAAAATTTCATGAGGTTCTGTCCATTACGATACCAGTTGTTGTGCACAAAATTCATAACTTGAACTCATAAACGAATGCTCAAACTCCTTTAGACTCGCGCCCCGGATTTCGAATACTTAAAAGTCAAATCTATTGCCAGCCTTATGAGGTGGATAATGCTTCTGATAATTTTATTTTCTACACCGAGTCTCTTCGAGGATTCGCTGCGCATGCCTCAGAATGCTTGCTCAGTGCTGAATTTTAATATTCGACCTGTGGAGTATCTCTCCGCTGAGGAACGTGTGAGCTGAACTATTTCGATTTTTTATCTTTAAAATTATGAAATTATTATGGTTTATCTTTTGATTGCGGAATTTGAAATTTTGCTGTAGGCGATGGGCACAAAAGCAGGACATCAACTGCGAATTCCAAGTGATTCAACTTTAACTACGACGAGGGTTAGCACTGACGGACTAGTTAAGGCTCACTAAGGGCGAAGGGTTGCTAAGTATTAAACGTTAACTATGGGAAGACCTATCTAACCCATACAACGTTGGGGCATAAAAAAACCATACATGTCTACATACAACGATGTAAAATATAAATATTGTAAAAACCCTATCATATCTGGTATCTTTTAAATAGTGTTAACTCATGGAATTTTTAGAGAATAGGATCATGAAATCTAGCATGATAGGTTTTTCCGCAAACCCTCACCAAAATGTGCAGATTCATCTCCTCAATTCCAATTTTTAGGTAAAAAATTCATCTCAATGCTTACCCTACTCTGGTAGAACTTAGCTGCTACCGCCAGAGTAGTAACACATCCAAGACCAAATTAGAGATGAAACTGCGCGGAGATTGTACACAATTTTGTGAGAGAATAAAATGTGCTTAAAAGCAAGGCCTGCAAATTTCTTGTTTCAAGGTAACAGGAGGTGAGGATAACATCCGAATCCCTTCATGAATATGGTTGGCATAATCATGAACAGCTGATAACTGTAATCTGATGATCCCTCTTGGCAGATCAATGTTACTCACATCACTTCATGAGGTTTGATTCAAGATTTGAAAAGATCTGATCGAATTACTCGCTTCTCTGGTAGTTGTAATTCTAAACACGAGAAATCAAAGATGCATTCCTCCATAGAATTTGCTCAGAGCTTCATAGCTAGCCATAGTAAAGTTGAAGCACCTGGGTGGTGGACTAATTACTTTCCGAACTTTCCGAACTGGGAAAAAGCACGTGATATCTTAGTCTGCTTCTCTGATCAGGTCGAATAAAGGAGTTCGTGGTGCGTTTTAAGAAAATAGATTGCAAGATGCAATGTATAAAATTGAATGGAACAAGTGAGGAATATATATTAAAAGGGAACTACGTACTGCAGTTTGCAAGGATGCACTATGGGAAAGACTTGAAAGAACGTAGAGAGACAAAGTCCCGAGGGTCGAGACTACTTGAAAAACCCTTCACTAGCTTCCAGTCTGGTGACTTGTAGATCATATAGAACAACTCTTGGTAGTTGGTATTGGTCAAGGCAGATTAACGATTCGAAAAAATCGTTAATCTGTGGTCTTCGTCTGGTGAGTAGACATCATACAAGCATAACACCTTGAAGCACCTGATCGTTTGAAACGTCGACACCTGCTCGGACATTTCAGATTAGAACTGTGAAATAGCAGGCAGAGCTCCGTATGCAAGTACAAGAGCGTGGATCTTTTCATATTACAAGTATACGAAATTCCATTCCCTATCAGTGTGTCCACCTCATATTACACATTGTTCTCTCTTCACAGCTGAAGATTATTAGCCTCGATTCTTAAATTATAAATTCGCTCAGAGCTCATCACCGTATCATGAAGCAAAGTACAGCTCGAGCTGTCTTTGCAGTTCGAATCGAATCGAAAAATTTGTCGTTGAAAGAATCGCTTCTCTAGATCTAGTCCTTGACGATATAAATCATCAATATCTTCTCTTTGAGTCAGAAACCAAGGTCCTGACTATCCTTCTTCTCCTATTCATTTGGACAAAACAAACTAGAAGGACAAAGGTACACAATATCTTCAATGAGGTCACTCGGGGAAACACACAGTGCAGCTAGCGACTGCTAGACAGATGGCACAGCTCAGGTCTCTGCTTCTAGTTTCACTGTTAGTAATCTCTGGATTTGTTGGTGATGTTTCTGGCGACCTCCATCGGTAAAACGAGTTAAGAGATGACTGTAACAGAAGCTTATGCACGGATACAGAAACAGTTATCCAGAAGGCCGTGCACGATGGGCTTGTCAACAACCTCCAACTTGCCGCTGGTATCATCGTCATGCTATTTTACGAGTTTTTTGTTCAGATAACCATTGGCCCACGACTGAATGATTGGAATCCTACATTCGGCAATATATATGTGACCACCAGGGACAGTAAGAGATGTTGTGCTGAACCCCTCAATTTTTTTGATGGGTTGTCCGTGGAACAGTTCTCCACACAACTACACACAGCAGGATACAGCGTGAGCAGCAAGTCTTAGAATTTTTATCTCATTTTTCTAAGCTTCAAAATGGTCCCATATCATGAAACTGACTAGATCGTCATCATGCTGAACGTGTCATACATGGTCTTCTCTCAGGGTCGCATATGGCGAGAGTAGGACCCTGCCACGTTCTTGTGGACCGACTGTCCAACTCCAACTCCAACTCAACTCCTTCCACCGATCCAGCCATCGACCCCGTGCACGATCGCTATTTTTATGCATGTTTTCGCTGCGACATCTGCAGCCGAGTCCGAATCGAATTATAATTATTACAAAACTCTAGAGCGGCACAAGGGGCTCTTGACTAGTCGCGTACCCAAGATATTGCAGTTTCTCTGACGGATGATGACGAGTTCCAGGAGGAGTGTGGGCCAGACCAGAACACACTGTCGCTCTTTGAATTAAGCACTTAATGAGTCGGACTAGCTGAAAATGAGAAGTATTTGCTGTAGGAAGACGGTGCCCAAGTGCTTTTCCACGTTCCACTCAGATTCCTGAACTCTGAAGCAATAGAAAGTGTCTTGAGTTTCATATGGTCATCAGCCTGGAAAGATTTCAGTTGCAATGGCCAGTTATCAATGGATATCGAGACGGGCCGAGCAGTGCTAGGTTCACTGAGAAGTTGATGACGTCCCATGGCATCAATAACTCATGATCAGGGCTAACAGAAGAACCCGTTCTTGTGTTTTATTATAAGTGCATATTTTATGGGTGCTAATAAGAGGCCCAGAAGATTATTCCTACTCACTATAAAGTATCATAAGAAAACTGTTCCAAGTCCGAGCTTGGTGGTCCATACCCCCTTCAAGGATCAGTCCTCTCCCCTTGGTCTAGTCCGTATTAACCAGGAATAGATTATCTGCAGTTGTAAGATCCAGCATGAAAATGGTAACTGGTGATAGTAAGGCAAGTGTCGTAGAGTTGAAGAGAATCTGATCTAGAATAAAATTGTCCTTTGACCATCACTTGTAACCAGTACGATATCAGGTCTTCCGCGAAAATTAAGTTATATGTGAACCTATCGGTCGCTTTGTCATGATCATTGGACTCTTGCACCATATAAGGCAACTAAAAATTGCTCAAACCTTCTTGGAAATCGAACCTGCTGCTGTGACAAGGCGAGTAAGCTACAGACGTCGAAACTCGAAGATTGTCAAGTGGATCACGAGTAACAGCAGCTTCAATCGAGTATCAGAGTCAAAGCTCAGCATATTGAATTCAAACTTCCCTCCTGACGTATTACTATATTTTATTTTGCCAACCATGAGAAG